GATTGGTGACGCAATGTTCAATTTTCTAGATTTTTAATTGCGTCTGACGCAATTTAATAATTTTGACCACATGTATAACTCCTATACAACCATTGAATAGTTGATAAAACGTTTATTAACATGTTTTGTTCATAGATCTTGTCCTTATTGCTTACTTTAACCACTCCTATACAACTATTGAATAATTGATAAAACGTTTGTTAGTATGTTTTGTTCATAAATCTTGTCCTTAACGCTTACTTCGATCACTCCTATACAAACTATTGAATAATTGATAAAATGTTTGTTGGTGTATTTTGTTCATAGATCTTGTCCTTAATGCTTACTTCAATCACTCCTATATATTGAATAATTGATAAAATGTTCGATAGTATGTTTTGTCCATAGATCTTGTCCTTAATGCTTACTTCGATCACTCCTATACTGGTTGATAAAACGTTTGTTAGTATATTGTTCATAGATCTTGTCCTTATTGCTTACTTGATCACTCCTATATATTGAATAATTGATAAAACGTTTGTTAGTATGCTTTGTTCATAGATCTTGTCCTTAATGCTTACTTTGATCACTCCTATACAACTATTGAATAGTTGATAAAACGTTTGCTAGTATGTTTTGTTCATAGATCTTGTCCTTAATGCTTACTTTGATCACTCCTATACAACTATTGAATAGTTGATAAAACATTTGTTAGTATGTTTTGTTCATAGATCTTGTCCTTAATGCTTACTTCAACCACTCCTATACAACTATTGAATAATTGATAAAACATTTGTTAGTATGTTTTGTTCATAAATCTTGTCCTTAATGCTTACTTTGATCACTCCTATACAAATATTGAATAATTGATAAAATGTTTGTTAGTATGTTTTGTTCATAAATCTTGTCCTTAATGCTTACTTTGATCACTCCTACACAACTATTGAATAATTGATAAAACGTTTGCTAGTATGTTTTGTTCATAAATCTTGTCCTTAATGCTTACTTTGATCACTCCTATACAACTGTTGAATAATTGATAAAATGTTTGTTAGTATGTTTTGTTGATAAATCTTGTCCTTATTGCTTACTTTGATCACTCCTATACAACTATTGAATAATTGATAGAATGTTTGTTAGTATGTTTTGTTCATAAATCTTGTTCTTAACGCTTACTTCAATCACTCCTACACAACTATTGAATAATTGATAAAACGTTTGTTAGTATGTTTTGTTCATAAATCTTGTCCTTATTGCTTACTTCAATTACTCCTATATATACAACTATTGAATAATTGATAAAACATTCATTAGTATGTTTTGTTCATAGATCTTGTCCTTAATGCTTACTTCAATCACTCCCATACAACTATTGAATAATTGATAAAATGTTTGTTAGTATGTTTTGTTCATATGGTTGGCTCAGTCTAAAGACTTCCTATTGCTGCGCCACGCGCTCAAATTTCAAAAATTGTGATTTTGTTCAAAAATGCAATAAAATTTTTTAAAAAAGGGTTATGCATGATTTTGGTTAAAAACTATTTTCCTTAATGCCAAATTTAGATATGATGGTCTAGTATTAGGCTAAATTTAGGAATGATAATCAAAAACTAGTCTAAATTTAGCAACGATCCTAGTGCTCAAATTTCTCATGAGCATAGTAAAGTACATGTTTTAGAGAAAAAAATCTCTTTTTTTTTTTTTGTGGGAAAAAAAAAAAAAAAAAGAAAAGATTTTTATTTTGTATGTTTTACCTGGTAAAAAAATCGGTGAATTACCCTGTTAGACGGCACCATGCCACAAACCATAAAGAGAAACACAGATCCCAACTCTAAAAGAGGGAAAAGAATAATAAAAAAAATACAAGAAGGAAACCGACCTCCTCAAACAAAAAAATTTTGAACCACAATAGAAAATGATATGGAAGATATTGAAATAACCTTTGGAAACATTAAAAATCCAAATACAAAATTAATAGAAAAAGATAAAGAAATCATTACACCTCTGGATGATACAACTTCTCTTTCTGACACTGTGCCAACAAAAAACAATGCATTGATTGAATTTCAGACACGAAAGACAGCTTATGTTGCAATTGCCCCTTATGATACTGTCAAAGGGAAAACGACAAAAGACAAATATCAATCAATAAACAAAATTTTCAATCATCTTGATAATTATACAGGACCTACAATAAAATCAATCAAAAAAGACAAATTCATAGCTGCGTTCTTCAATACTCCTGAAGATCTTAAAGCAGCTTTAGAAATTGACATTCCTATTCCAGACAAAGAACCATACAGATTCCTCGCACTTGATAATATTAAACAATCATCAACTCAAGAGGCAGTCACTGATGAAAAATCCCGAACTATACAGGTTATAGACATCCCCCTTGGTACACCAACATCTACAGTTCGTGCTAAATTTTCAAAATTTGGGGAAATTGAAAACATAACTCCACAAACACGTAATTTTTACCAACACGCTTTCATTAAATACAAAAACACTGAAGCAAACAAAAAATTTGCAGAAGAAACATGGAGTATTTATCTCTTGAAAGATGCAGTAAGGGTCCTACCATTAGATCTTACACAAGAACAAAGAGAACAGAGACAGGCTCATAGTTTCAAACTAGCAGGTTTACCTCGTAATACTACTGCACGTGACTTACATGAAATTATTATGGCTGTCAATGCTCAATCTTGCTTCATACCAAAGAATCCAAGAACGTACTTACCACTCAATTATGCATATATTGGCTTCGCAAGTGATGAACAACTGGAGAAAGCAGTTTCTCAAGATTTCTCATTAAATGGTCATGAATTATATTGGTGTTCTGACCAACAAAAAACTTGCCACAAATGTGGATCTCCTGATCATTTAGCAAAAGCTTGTACTGCCTTTAAACAACAGAGATCACGAGATCAAGTTAAACAGAAATTATATGAAAAATTCCGCCCACCACAACATAAGAAAACTTATGCAGAAATTACTAAAAAAAAACAACAAAAAAATCAACAACCACGCTCCAACCACAAAAAGAATGACCAAAATCATATTAAATCAGATATCTTCTCCAAAGGAAATCTTTTTCATGATCATCTAGAAGAAAAAAACAAGGCCATATTGGAAAAATTGAAAAATGAAATTATGCAATTTAACAAGGCTTTAGAAAGTTTGAGAGCAGAGATGAAACAAATGAGAAAAGATATAGAAATTTATGTTGCTCCAAAATTGATTATAACTCCAACACCAATCATAAATACAACTCAATCACCACTTAAAACTACATTACAACAACCCATTAAACATAAACGCAATTTCACTGAAGTAACCCCATCATCATCTTCTGATACACAAGATTCAGAAATTGAACAAATACCTTCACCTAAGCAAATATTAGCAAGACAAGATAATTTAGAAAATCAAATTGAAAAACAAGCTAATATTTTGCATCGAATCTACGATTTCATGAATTCTGTTTCACCCACAGAAAGTGATGACAATGATACAATAGCGGAAGACAAAGAAGAAGATGAAGAAGAAATGGATCGCGATCCTTCCTTCCCTACTGCTTCTACCCAATAATGTTCAACATTATAATCTTATCATCATTAATGATTAATCATAATATTAATAATCAAAATAATAATAATCAAAATCGAAACATACAACTTCCTTTCCGCTTCATGACTCTAAATATACAAGGTCTAAACTCATATGCTAAACAACAACAATTAGTTGATATGATGAATTCAAATCATATAGACTGTTTAGGATTATCTGAAACAAAAATTGCAAATAAAAATTCAAAACATATTTATAAACAACACCAAGAGTTTGTCGCCTATTTCAATAATGATAATAATACAACAATGGGCACAGGTGTTGGAATACTCCTTTCGAAACAACTTGCAAAATATGTACAAAAAGTAACTAAACATAAAGGCAGAGTAATATACATTGATCTATTCTTGAAAGGGAAGATCAAACTACGAATCATTCAAATTTATTTACATGCCAACACCACAGGAATACAACAAGAAATCAAAAACCTTTATGAATATATTTTCAATACTCTCGAAAACTCACAAAAAAACCATTTCAAAATTATACTAATGGGAGATTTCAATGTGAATTATGAAAAATATTTATCTACCTATCACTCCAGAGGATCTCACAACTGGAGATACAACATTTTCCACAAATTGGAAACATACAATCTAAATGAAACCATTTCATTATTCCACAATATTACACCCTCTAAACCATATCACACCTTCTTTCCAAAAAGCTCAAATAAGAGTTCAAGCAGGATTGACTATATTTGGATCTCACAGGATTTAATATTAGAATCAATTAACAGTGAACTTTATGAAATAGATACTTTCAATACTGATCATAAAGCAGTATACTTAAATTTATTTCCATATAATTTAATAGGAAACAAACAACATGCAACCCTTAGACAACAACAAATGAAAAAAATAATCTTTCATTATGATAAAATGACAAAAGATGAATGGGATGATTATGGAAATTATGTAGATGAATTAAGTAAAGATATATTTCCTACTCTTATTTCAAATACAGCTGACTTAAATCGTGTTTGGGATTCCATTCAAAAATGCATCAAGGATGCTGCTAAGGAAAAAATTTGGAATTCTACATCAACAATACAAAACAAAGAAAAAAAGCCACAAAATTTGACAGAAATAAATGGAGAAATTAGAAAAATTAATAAAATAATTCGTGATTTCAACAAAAAAAATTTTAATCCTCCCAATATTAAAATTATCCAAAACCATTGGAAACAAACAACAGAAATTTTACATAATTTTGCAAAAAAACACAAGTATGATTTGAGCCTTCCACCATCTATAGATAATAAAACAATAGAAACTTTTCGCATTCAAATCAAAGCTTTCCTCAAAATTTTAATGGTTAAATGTGACATACTAAATGAATCTTATAAAAATCAACAGATCAAAGAATATGTTCGCAAAAGATGTGAAGATTTCAAAGATAACCCAAGTCATATGATAAACTCTCTCATAGATCGTCATAAAAGAAAAATTATCATTGACAGAGTTTTAATCAATAATAACAATAACCAAGAATTGCTTGTTGACCCAGTACAAATTAAAGAAGCAACAACTCGCCATTTCCAAACTTGCGCTGGGGGAATAAATATGAGAAAAGAAATACCTCAACAATGGCAACAACAATATTCCCCAAAATCTAACATCAATCCAGATATATATAATACCCTTATGGATCCGCCATCTTTAAATGAATGGTACAACATAATCAAAAATCTTCCGAATGACAAGGCTGCAGGACCATCAGGAATAACAAACGAAATGATCAAATACCTTGGTGAAAAATCTTCCCTTGTAATATTCAATATAATTTGTGCTTGTATCAAATTGAATGACATTCCTTCAGCTTGGAGAGAAGCCAACATTTATCCTATCCCCAAACCGAAAGATTGGAATTCAGATTTATCAAATACTCGTCCAATCACTTTACTAGAAACCATCCGTAAAGCAATGGTACGAATAATAAATGATCGTTTAATGAAAATTATGGTTGAACATAAAATCCTAAAAGGTAATCAATTTGCTGCTTTGCCTGGATCTTCAACCTTTGAACCAATTAGAATTATTAACGAAACTATAGAAGACGCAAAAGAACAAAAAAAAGAAATTTGGCTACTTTTCCAAGACCTGTCAAAAGCATATGATAGAGTCAATATTTTCATGCTTGAGAAGGCTTTTAAAAGGCTATGTTTACCACCAAACTTTATTACACTCATTTTAAACTTATTCTCAAATCGCAAAAATCGAGTATTTACTGCAGCAGGAACAACTGATCTATTTGACATGTTGATAGGTATAGATCAAGGAGAGGTGATTTCACCCCTTTTATGGTGCATATACTACGATCCCTTATTATGCGAGATAGAGGAAAGAAAACTTGGATACAATATAAGACACAATTACAAACAGAATCTTTATTCTGATCAATTTATCCAAATAGAACAACATTTATCAGTATTAGCATTCATGGATGATACTTCTTGGATAACAGAATCAAAACAAAATTTAGAATTAATATTGTCCATTGCAGATAGCTTCTATCAATTAAACAATATAATGGTTAATAAACAAAAATCAGAATTGTTAGTCAAAGTTCCAAATAATAAAGACATTTATAATAATGAAGTAGACCTAAACTTTGGAAATGAACAAATCAAAATTCAACCAAAGAAATATTCAGAATCAATCAGGATACTAGGTATCTGGATGAACCTTGGAAAAAAAAGGAACTTCATTATTCAACAAGCTAAAGATGAAGTCATAGAATTGTGCAATATAATGAAAAAGAAACTTATCACAGACAAACAATTATTATATATTTACAATACAGTAATAATTCCGAGGATAGAATATCGTACACAATTAACTTTTCTCACCAAAAAGGAATGTGATAATATCTCTTCCCCTTTCCGACAATTATTTAAACACAAAATAAATTTATCAACTTCAGCACCAAATGCAATCGTAAACAATAGAATGATTTACAATTACAGAAATTTGTATGAAGTCCAACTACAATCTAAAATTACAAATTTTTATATACAATTAAATGACCAAAAACTATTAGGAAATATTACAGACATTCGTTTAAAACAAATTCAACATAATGAATGGCTTCGTAAATCTCCATTAATAGAATGGCCATATAATACACCTCAGTGTCGACATTATTCATCATTTATACCATCAATGATTACATTATGTCATTCTAACAAATTCACTTTTCAAGTTCATCCTCATCAGACCAATGAGATTTTTGAAGGAGACATTGAAATTCGAACATTGATTCCTAAATTTGTACATTTCAAAAATCAACTCAGAGACAATTCAATTATGTTTTTAGAACAACTTTCAACATTGGATGGAAAATTTCTACTGAACTGGCATGCAATAAAACATAAGTCATTTACCCGTAATTCTACTCGTATACCAAAATGGTATAAAATCCTGCAACCAATTGTATTAGAATCTAATGACAGTTCTAATTTTTTAAAGCCACAATTTATAACTCATAATATACAAAATCTAAAGGGACAATCAATAACATATCCTAATTTGAATACTCAAAGTCAAGAATGGGTAGTAATCTGGAACCCTATGATACAGAATCCAATTTTTGGAAAGATTATAAAAAAACATCCAAATTATAATCAAATAATTATTGAGCATTGGATAATTAATAATATATTTTCAACAACTGATATTCCAATAATTCAAAAATGCAATGGTTGTGTTATTCATCAACAAATCATCATATCTGGAATTAAATCATGCACAAATATATATAATCCAATGTATGCAATAGTCATCAATACAAAAAAAATTTCTGCTTATGAGCGTAGTCTTAACTATACAATAGCTGACTTATATGCAAAAGCAAAATTTGTCATGGAAGTTAATCTAGGTATAATTAAACCAAGCTTTCATATGCCTACTAGAAGACAACCAGATAATAACCTCATTATAAAATTCGTGGACAATCCAATTATACAAAATCAACTACTACAGCACCAAATAATTCTAGAACCTTATAAAACCCTGGAATTTTATACAGATGGTTCTTTGACAAATTTGGGAACACATGATATATCTATGGTCTGTGCTTATATACAAACACATACAGCAGCACCACAATTACAATTTACTGCAAGTTTAAGGTCTTGGCCCTCAGCAGCAAGATCTGAACTAATAGCAGTGGTAGCAGTACTATTAGTCTCTCCTCCAAATGCAAATATTAGAATTTATACTGATAGTAAATGTACTATTGATCAATATGAACAATTAACTTCTACAACTTTTTCTACATCTCCTCGCAATATTTTTAAACAACACAACAACATTGTTTGGATTATACTTCATGAAATTTTAGAAATAAAAAAAATTGATATTAACTTTATTAAGGTCAAAGCACACAATGGAAATCATTTTAATGAAATGGTAGATTCATTAGCCAAAAATGCACACACACATGATTTCCCTCCTTTTTCATTTACAACTGAATTTTTACAATCATTAAGATATATACCTAAATGGAATAATATTATCATAGAACAACATTTACGACACCTCATTACAAATATTTCATACAATGGGGGTTTTGAAACCTGGCTAAATTTATATAGAAACAAAAAATATCGCCAAACTTTAATAGATTGGGAACTGACTTTTGAAATTCTCAACACCTTTGAAAAATCAACAGAAACATCATTTACTGCTTCAAACAAGAAAATTTCAAAAATCAAGTTATTAATTGAAGAACTTCCAACAGTTGAACACATCAAAAAACAAAGACCAGATCTATATAACAATTGGAAGTGTCCTTTATGTAAGAACCAACTTGAATCATTTGAACATATTTGGAACTGTACACAAAATGTACAAAAAATTAAAGAAATATTATATAATGCAAAAAGCAAACTTATAAAAAATATCCAAAAAAAGAATAAAGGAAAAAAATTGTCATCAAAAGATTTGGAACAT